ACATTTATTGGGTGCACATTGCAGGCCAGATCTGTTTTGCATGCATTTAAATCATCACAACAGCCTCTTTAACCCACTCTCTTCACCCTTCAGTGTCTCGATGACCCTGGGTGGGTGGCTGAGCTGATGCCTCCCTGGGTGACCGTGGAGTGGGTATGTGCACGTGACATTGAGGAGGCATATTCGTGTGTGAGTCCAGCACCCAGCACAGTCTGTGGCACATAGTACATTGTATTAAATCTTTGAGAAATGAGTAAACAAGTGTCTGCCCATACGTGAATCTGACGTCCAATCTCATCAGATCCCAGAATGAGACTTCGCATTGAAAGCTTGTGGGATCACACCTCTGTGCCTGGTATGACTCTGTCTCCACCTGACTGAACATGTGTCTGTGTGTGCCCTCTCCCTGTCACCCTGTGCCAGCCCTGTGGCTTTGTGTCCGGGTGTGTGAGTGACTGTGAAAGCTGCCTGCCATCTCCCTGGATGGTAGCCAGTTCTCCAACCCCACTGAGGGGCGGAGGAGAGGGGGTCTGTTTCTAGTGGGAGAGAACAATGGGTCTGTGTGGGTGGGGCTCTCAACTGGGCCGAACTGGGCTGGTCTCTGTACCCGTTATCTCTGTCTCCCAGGAGACCAGTCCTGAACAGCCTCAGGGAAGGTGCTCATCTGCCAGTTCTGGGCTCCAGATCGGGGTGGGGGGTGGGGGCCAGAGAAGCAGGGGTGGAAAGGAGGGCCTGGTGAGGGTGGCAGGGTGGAGGAGGGCACCCTTCCCTGAATTTGCATCTTCAGTACCCAGGACCCCTGAATGATTTCCCAGTAAAATGAGGGGCGAGGGCTGGGAGGCAACTGGCTCAAGGAGAGGACATTGGCCACCAGCTCCTCTCCGATGCCCAGCAGTGCTGAGCAGTACAGGCTGTTCCTGGGGTGGGGCGCTAGGTGAGACAGGTGCCACTTCTTTGGGATTCTCGGGGCCTCTGCCTAGGATGGAGATCTGGGCGGGAGCTTAGGTGCTGGTTTGAGGGCTTCCTTGCAGGACCTACCTGTCATTACACGGGCTGGGGGTCTGGGTGGGATCTGAGGGCCTCATGGAGGGGACTCAGGCTCAGGGGATTCTCTGTGGGATCTTATGGGTCTGTATGGGATGGGGGTTTCGTTTCGGTGAAATCAGAGGGCAGGGGATGGTGACTGGGGGTGGGATGAGGTCCTGAGGATTTCCCCCGATAGAACACAAAGGTCCCTCCGTGAGATGGAGGACTGAATGTGGTCAAGGTGGGAGTCCTCGAGAGTGCTCAGATCTCTATGAGATTTTGAGGGCTCTTTGAGCTGTCGACTGGGGTTGCTGGGTTTTGTCTACCTAACTCCCTGCTCCATGCCCCAAGGCCAGGCTGTGGATGTGGAGGGGGTAGGGATGACTGCTGAGCTGGCAAACAAAGCCACCTGGGCACCCATCCTTCAGGAAGCTCTGGGCGCAACTGATCTGGGAAAACAAACAGGAACAGCTGCTAGGGGTGGGGGCACTGCAGCTGGGGAGAGAGGCAGAGCTGGACCAGCCTGGTGGAGGAGACCTGGAGGGGGTCTGCGGAACCCAAGGCGTGTAGTGATCCCAGAGTCCACCGCTGGCACAGCAGGCAGGGCTGACTGGAAGCCCCTTCCCCTCAGTGGTTCTTCTCTTTGGCGGTGACCGTGAGGCACAAAGTCAGGAGGGGCCTAAGGGGGCTGGGGGCCCCTGAGATGTTTAGAAGTCTCTGGGCCACTGACTATTGGTGGTGGTGGTGGGTATGCCCATTTCTGAGAGAGGTGGTCGCAATTGTTAGAACTAAAAGCCCCATGGATGGGAGGTGGGACCTCCGTACTGTTTTCACGAGTAGGGACGAGGTAGAGAAGGGGAGAGGCTGGATATCGCGAAGACCAGAGCTTCGCACTGGAGGAGGAGCAGGGGCACTTCTCACACACGGATCCCCTCCCCAACTCCAGGCGGGACTCCTAATTCTAACCTGAATCTCGGCTGGACGGCCTCCCCGCTTTTCCTTCTCCCCTAACCCCGGAAAAGGAGCGCACACACCCCTCCAGCGGAATGCCGCCGTCCGACACACGCGACCCTCGGGAGCACACCCAGACCCCAGCCCGCTCGACGCACAGCGTCCAGTCTCCGACAGACACCCCCACACCTTCTGACCAACACTTGGCGCCCGCGTCAGGGTCAGCGCAGACGCACCCGCGGCCTCCCTCCCGACCTCGACCTCCGCTTCCACCCCGCCCTAGGAGCCAGCTTTCGGGCCAGCGCGGCCTGCCTGCGCCCTCTGGTGGCAGAATCCAGAATTGTCGGATAGAGATGGGGGAAGGCGGGAAGGCGAAATCTTGATTCTTCACCCCTCACCCCTGCCCCGGCTGGTGACACTGACGACAAAGACTGGGACACCAAGGGTCCATAACTGGCTTGTGCCCCACCCCACTCTGGAATTTATATTCCCTCTTTGCGGTTTGGGGGAAATTACACCTTATTTGTGTTTGTTCAAATCCCCCAAAGGGTAGGGAATCAGGACATTGTTCTGACCTCACCCCCAGTCAAACCCGCCTGAGGCTGTCCCATCTCCGACCCCTATCCTGCTCACTTGGACTCTACCTCCATGGCCAGTTCTAGGGCCCTGTACTCTTGGCACCCATCTTTGTACACACTGCGAGCTCCAACAGTAACTCCTCACCAGGGAAAAGAGAGGCCCAAAGGAGCATCTGTCTGTCCTCAGTGCCTGCTCTCAGCAACCCAGAACTTCAGATGTGGGAGGCCAAGCCCCCACCCCGCTTCCATTGGAGAATTTCCTCTACGCCCCTTTTCCCGTGGACATTTGGCCCACACCTGACCGCCTTGTTCACTCACTCATTCAAGAAGTTTTATTGAGTGCCCGCTATGCACCCAGCACTGTGCTGGGCTTGAGGGTAACAACGGAGAACAAGACACAGTCCCTGCCCCTTTCAATGGAGCTTACACTCTAGTAAGGGAGAGGCTGGCGCACCCATAAACACAAGATGAAAAAGATAGCTTTACAGAGTGATCAATGCTAGAAAGAAAAAAGGGCTGATGTGATGGATGGAAGAGTGCCTGTAACAGCATCACCGAGGAGGTGACACAGGAGCCAGCCATGCCAGGATCTTGTACCAAGACACTCCAGGTAGTGGCAGCACAAATGCAAAGGTTCTGAGATGGGCTGAGCATGGAGCACTGGGAAGAAAGCTTAGAAGGCAGGCTGGTGAGGCAAGGCTTCTGGGAGCTGGGGTGGCCACAGCTGGCCTGTGAGCACTTCTTGGCACAGGAGCTTGGATGGACAGTGGCAGAGCACTGACTGTGACTTCCTAAGGTCCAAGGTCGATTTTTGCTCTGAAACTGGCTCGCTGTGTGAGTTTGGACAAGGCCCTAGGCCTCTTTGAGCCTCCATTTCCACATCTGTACATGCAAACCTAACTCACTGGACTGTTGTGAGGACCCATAAACGAAGCATGCGGCTCGTGGGAGCAGCAACGTATTAGCTCCTTTCTCACTTGCCTCTCACCTCTACTGGAGTAGCTCCAGCCACATCTACCACCATTAAGGAAAACTCACGATTTTGCAAGAGGTCTTTGTGTCTCATTAACAGCCGTTGTGGCTAGAAAATTCCACTGCAAGCAGTGAGGAAATTTCCTACCTGCAGCTACCCCTTGGGCGTCCCAACATTTTCCTCTTCCTCCTCTCCCTCCCGCTCTTTCTACCACACTCCCGCCCCGTCCCCCACCCCTCTCTGCCTTTCCCCAGCTCACTCTGTCGCCCAGTCTGGAGTGCAGTGGTTTGATTTGGGCCAACTGCAACCTCCACCTCTTGGGCTCAAGCAATTTTCCCTTCTCAGCCTCCCAAGTAGCTGGGACTGCAGGGGCATGCCACCACGCCCAGCTAAATTGTTTGTTTGCTTTTGTAGAGACGGGGGTTTTGCCTTGTCGCCCGGGCTGGTCTCAAACTCCTGGGTTCAAGAGATCCTCCCAAAGTGTTTGGATCACAGGCGTGAGCCGCCGTCCCCAGCCTGGGAGATTTCTTAGCTGTGAGGCCTCCACCACGTTCCAAAGCCCTCGGGGACTCCACGTCTTCATCTGGGAAATGCAGGACAATGACCGCACCTTCCTCACAGGTCAGTGTTAGAATTAATGGAGTTCACGCACCCGAAAGCCTGGGCAGAGAGCTCGGCCTGAACTAAGCGCTTCATCCTCAGCTGTTAACTCTCAGGCAGACGTCGGGACCGGAGCCCCGAGGGCCTGGATCTTTGTGGGAGACCCGCAGCGGCACGAGTTGGGCAGAGGTAAGGCCCAAGATTCCTCCTACCTCCCGGGGCGAGCCACTTCCTGGGTGGCCATTAAGCCTAAACCCGGAGTAAACCGCAGGGCCCTCGGGAGGTGGTTTCCAGCGCCCGGCGCGGCGGCGTGGTACGTCCTAGCCACCGCCTCCTCTCCTTCCCGGGCCCCAGGGGCGCGGCGCAGGATCTGGGAACGTACGCTTGGGAGGAAAGGGGCTGCAATGCACCGATCTTCCAGGAAAAAGGACTGAGCACGTGAAGCGAGTTCTTTGCTCAGAGCTTTCTCTACTTCCGCCCTAGCGTCGCCCAAAAGAGAGGCCGGGACTAGGGCCGCGGAAGGCTGTAGATTAGACTTTGGGAAGAACTTCCCCTCTGAGAGTCAGCAGCGCGGTCTTAGCCCGAGGCCCCCGGAGGCCAGATGACTTCGTCCCCGAGGGCCGGGCCAGGGACGGCGCGTCCTGTCCCGAGGCCTGGCGCGCCCTGCCTGGCTCAGGCTAGAAAGAAAGAAAGCGCGGAGTCAGCCTGGGCTGCGGCGGGCGCGGGGTGCGCGCCTCAGCACTTTCTATTGTCCTCCCTGTGGGCTGGGGCCACAGCGGTGGCTGCAGGAGAGGCCTCGGCTCCCCAGCGGAGACCAGAGCCGACCGCAGCCCGCCTGCTGACTCAGCGCCCCCCACCCCGGAGGGAAGGGTGCGGGCAGGGGACAAGGCCAGGGTATAAAGCCCGGCCCGCCCGGCCGCGCGCAGCCTCCTAGCCTGTCCATTTCCCTCCTGTGCAGAGCTCACCCACCCGGTGAATTCCCGCTACTGGGGCGGGGAAGGGCTGGGAGCGCGGGAAGAGGGCGAGGTCCTGGCAGCCGGGTCCAGAGCCAGGCTGGGTCCTGCCCCCAGTCCAACCCAGGTTGGACAGGCTGTGTTTCGGAATGGGGCTCTTGAGACGCTGAGCGCCTGGTTCCACTCTTCCTGTCCTCAGCGGCATGAGCAGCACCCCCGCGCCGGGCTCGGCGCCCGCCAGCCTCACACTCTGGGACGAGGAGGACTTCCAGGGCCGTCGCTTTCGGCTGCTGAGCGACTGTGCGAACATCTGTGAACGCGGAGGCCTGCGCCGGGTGCGCTCGGTCAAGGTGGAAAACGGCGTGTGAGTGATTACCTGGCCGCGGCTGGGCTCGGTTGAGGGGCGCTGGGCTTCACCGGCCCAGGCTCAGAGCCTCAGCCCCCTGTCCTGTGAGCCCTGGAAAGACCTGCCAACACCGGAAACCCCATAGCCTCCCCAAACTCCCCACCCATCTCAAGACAAATCATGGGAAAGCTTATATTTTTGTGCGAGTTAAAGAGACGGGCGAGGCCGGGAGCGGTGGCTCACGCCTGTAATCTCAGCACTTTGGTAGGCCAAGGCGGGTGGATCCAGCCTGACCAAATGGTGAAACCCTACCTCTACTAAAAATACCAAAATTAGTTGGGCATGGTGGTGCAGGCCTGTAATCCCAGCTACTCAGGAGGCTGAGGCAGCAGAATCGCTTGAACCCGGGAGGTGGAGGAAACAGTGAGCCCAAATAATAGTGCCACTGCACTCCAGCCTGGACGGCAGAAGGAGACAGTCTCAAAAAAAAAAAAAAAAAAAAAAAAAAAAAAAAAGAGAGGCAAGCGAGAAGCGACCCTTTAAGGGTCCCCATGGGGCCCCACAGTGAAGGGGTTCCTAGTGTACCTACACCCGTCCCAAAGTTTTTCTCTGTGCAAAATTAGAAGGCTCTGCCCTTGGCTTAACAAAAGAAACCCAGTCCCTTTCCCTGGCCCCACCCTGGTCTCCAAGAGCCCGGTTTTTCCCACCCTCCGTCTTCTACCACCCACCCCCACCCCCCATCCCTCACTCTCCATCCCCCATCTCCCAGTTCCTGCTTTAATACTCGGGAGGGTCCTCCAATGCTTCCCTATGCAAAGGCCTAAACACGTGAGGTAGAAGCACTTGGTTGTGGGGTTATCCTCACAACCAGAAAAATTCCTTCCCAACCTGGGGTCCTTGAGCATGAAGCCTGGGCTCCTCAAACCCCCGATAGCAGCAGGTTTGAGGTGTTTAGCCCCGAGAGGGGCTGGACTGCCATGCGATGGGCATGTCAGGGGAAGGGACTGGGACTGGAGAAAAATACTGTGCCTCTCAGTCTTTTGAATCATGGCAAGCAAGGGGGAGGGAGAGGGGGTGCACCTGGGGCAGATACCTCCCAGCTCTTCTTTTCCAGTTGGGTGGCCTTTGAGTACCCTGACTTCCAGGGACAGCAGTTCATTCTAGAGAAAGGAGACTATCCTCGCTGGAGCGCCTGGAGTGGCAGCAGCAGCCACAACAGCAACCAGCTGCTGTCCTTCCGGCCAGTGCTCTGCGCGGTGAGCACAGCCACCTCTCCTTCTCTGCCTCCTAGCTCTAGGTCCTGGCCTCACCATGGGGCCCGGAAAGGCCATCCAAGCCCTGCATGGGGGTGTGTAAGCAAACTTCAAGGTGGGTGGTAATAGCATTATTTCTCAGAATCAGAAGGGTGTCTCCAAGAAAGTTGGGATTGTGGACATAGGCCAGGAGTCCAGAAATCATCACCACGGACAGCGCCAAGGCCATCCCAGTCCTGAGTGCCCAGGGCTCCCTCACATCCAATCGACCACACATGTGAGGGAGCGACTCTGTCATCACACAGCCCTGTGAGGTCAGGATGGCTGATATTAGCCCCATACACAATTGTGGAAATGGGGCTCAAAGGGACAAAGTGGCTTGCCCATGGTCACTGAAAAGAGTCAGTCTCAGTGTGTTTGTGTGTGTTATTGTGTGTGTGAGGATGTCAGTAATGAATCAACTACACCGGAAGAGAGGACCTCACTTTCCATTTATGCTGATCTGGGGACTGGTAGGAATGAGGGGTGGAGAGCAGAGGACCCAGCCCAGGGCAGCGCAGCTCCTCTGTTGCAAGAGGCTGAAGAACCCTGCAGTGGGAAGGCCCTGGGGCCAAGATGCAATTGGTATTGATGCCCTGACATGTCTATTCTAATTCTGCTATCCAGTACCCCTTAGCTGGGTGCTAATCTGTGAGAGGCTGTGCTGAGGGGCCGGGCAGGGGATTGGGTAGTCAATCAGTGAGTCCCTCAAGGAACTATCTTGGTGAATGGGCTAGATTTGTCTAAGGACCTCTGATTTTGCTCCTGCAAAACAGGTCCATGTCACAAGATGCTCACTAGTTCCCACCTGAAAGGGTCTCTGGAGCCCCATTCCCCCAATCACCTCCTTAGCCCAAAGCCATGGGAGGGGCCAGGTTCGAGGGAGCCTCTGAGTGATCTGTTTCCCAGACTGCCAGGGAGCTGATGAGGTGAGTCTGGGAGTGCCTGTAGGTCCTAGACAGCTGCACAGCTTTCGTGGGGGCAGTGAGGGGGGGAAGCGAGGCTGAGGATGTATCCATTGACCACCCTTTAGAAGCCTGACCTTTCTGTCCCAACCTTCCTGGGCCTCAGAACCACAGTGACAGCCGTGTGACACTGTTTGAGGGGGACAACTTCCAGGGCTGCAAGTTCGACCTCAGCGATGACTACCCATCCTTGCCCTCCATGGGCTGGGCTAGCAAGGATGTGGGTTCCCTCAAAGTCAGCTCTGGAGCGTGAGTCCTAGAACTAGAACTGGGGAGATGGAAGAGCAGGGCAGCAATGGGGACCCAGGGAGAGGGTGGAGGAAAGTGGTGTGGGGAGGGCATTAAGAGAGATATTGGGGATTTGGAGGCGTGGGGAAGTGAGATGATGAAGTCTGACTGGGAGGGAGGAAAGGAGGAGGTCCTAGGGGAATGGGGGCAGAGGACAATATGGGGACAGAGGAAGGTATGGAGAACATGAAGGGATGGAAGCAATGGAGGGTGGGTTTGGGAAACAGGATGAGAAAGGTGATAGGAAGACTGGGAGCAGTGGGTGGGGGAGGGAGAGCCATGTGGGGAAAGTTGAAGCAGTGGTTTTCGAGCTGGGGGTTGGGAGCTGCAAAAGACGGACTGCTAGTGGAGAATACAGGGTGGGGTTGGGGTGGGGGGGCAGAGCTTACTCCCCACCCCTGTGCCCTCACTGGCCTAGGTGGGTGGCCTATCAGTACCCAGGTTACCGAGGCTACCAGTATGTGTTGGAGCGGGACCAGCACAGCGGCGAGTTCCGTACCTACAGTGAGTTCGGCACACAGGCCCACACCGGGCAGCTGCAGTCCATCCGGAGAGTCCAGCACTAGGCTCCTCGGCCCCAGACACCTTCCCTGAGGACCCTCAATAAAGGTTCCTCAATCTTCCTGCCCCTCTGGCCTCCTTGGTGTCTTGCTTTGTGATCTGCATCCTCAACTTTCCGAGGGTCCCTCCCTGCCAAGTTGACCTCCCCCTACAGACTCCAGGACCTTGGCTACTGAGTGTCAGCTCGCTGAGGTTGTGTGTGGGTAGGCTCTGGTGGGACTGACAGCAGAAGGCTGGTAAGAATCTTAGCAATTCTGTTAAATGCCACCAGTCCCAACCCTCTCCTGTGTAAGGTCCACTACTATGTATGAGCCAGGGGTTCTGCTAGCTCAGATGGCACCTTTGCCATCCTGCAGGTAGGGTGGGCACACCCCCATATCAGGGCTCATAGCTGGATTGCAGCTTCTACACATCCCCGGCCCAGGCACCGTGATGCAGGGCAGAACTTCCTTACCATATGACGAAGGTCTGGGCTTCCTCTGTAACCCCAGAGCATTTTCAGCCTTTACCTTCGCCTGGCTCACTGCCCAGCCAGGGAAGCCTGAGCCTCCTGCATTTGTCCCCTTTCCTCCATCGGTAGGAGGGGCAGTAGTGGGAAATCCCACTGCCTCCCAGGGCCTTCAAAGGGGAGACTTCTGAGACCAGCCCCCAGACCCTTTGAACAAGGACGATCCCTTGCAGTGGTGTTGAACTCCAGCATTTACAAAGCATCTTCACATCCCCCCTCTCAGCACTTCATACCACCCCCTCTTCAGTCTTCCTTTTCCTCCCTACCCTTCAGAGGACTGCTGAGCTGTAGAAGCCACCCCTCAGTGACTGACACAGTAAGCCTGGGTTGGGGGCAAGTGGCAGGCACCCACAGGCATGGCAGAGCTGAGTATGGCCACAGCCATTAGAGCCCCTGGCACTAGTGTGAGTTTTTTACCAGTTCCCTCTTTGGTACAGTTAGTGATGCCCCTTCCCCAACCCCCACACAGGCAGAACCCCTCAAGATTCTTGGGACTCCTCTCATCGTTTCCTGTGCGGATTCTTGTGTTTTCTCCTTCCTTCCTTCCTCCCTCTCTCCCTTCCTCCCTCTTCCTTCCTTCCTTCCTTCCTTCTTTCTTTCTTTCTTTCTTTCAACAAGTCTTGCACTGCTGCCCAGGCTGGAGTGCAATGGCATGATCTCAGCTCATTGTAGCCTCCGCTTCCCAGGTTCAAGTGATTCTCTTGCCTCATCCTCCCAAGTAGCTGGGATTACAGGCACACGCCACCACACCTGGGTAATTTTTTTGTGTTTTTAGTAAAGACGGGATTTCACCATGTTGGCCAGGCTGGTCTCGAACTCCTGACCTCGTGATCCCCCAGCCTTGGCCTCCTAAAGTGCTGGGATTACAGGTGTGAACCACCATGCCCCGCCAGATTCTTGTGTTTTCAAGTCCCCAGCAGACCTATCAGTGGGGAAGGGTGGCTCTGATTATTGCCCCAGGCCAGGCAGGGCAGGGCAATGCCAGGGGGCAGTCAGACTTGGGCCTGAAGTCCCCAGAGGTTCAGCTGTGCAAAGTCAGGCTGCTCCTTTGGGAAGAGCTGTGCACCGTAAGTCAGAACTCTTGGGACCCAATTCCCTCACCTTGTAAGCTATTGACCCCTGTCCTGCCTGTCTCCAGGGGCTGTTAGGAGGATTCCATGAGAAACTCCTGCAAATGCTTATGGTGTTATGGAAAAGCATTGAGGTAGCCAATGCAGGGGCCTCCTTCCCCTACCTCCTCCACCCATGGATCCTAGGGTTGGGTCGGAGGACCAAGGGAGAGAGCTGTGGGTGAGCTATAAATTTTGCTTTACACTTGAATGGGCCCTAGAGTTCATGGTCCTTGTTGCATTCAATCCTCCTAATACTCTCCAATTTCATCTATTTTTACCAAACTGGGGGTCCAAGGAGTAGTTTTGATGATATTACCCAATTAATTGGTGACAAAGCCAGGATCTTAACACAGGGCTCCTGGTCCGAAATCCAGGCTGTTAGGTGGAGGCTGAATTGAGCTGTGGCCAAAAGCCTCAGGCCCCAGCAGAGACCCAAAGTTCTGTGGGCCCCAGAAGAATCTGGGGTTCCTGGCTGGTCATGGGCACCTCCCCATCACCTTGCGGAATGGCTATATTTACAATAGCTACATGTACAGAATCTGTTCTAAGCACTTCACATGCATTATCTCATATAAACCTCATCATTCTGCATGGCAGGTACTATCATACCCATTTTATTTTTATTTATTTTATTTTTATTTTGAGATGGAGTCTCACTCTGCTTCCCAGGCTGGAGCGCAATGTCACGATATTGGCTCTTTGCAACCTCTGCCTCCTGGGTTCAAGCAATTCTCCTGCTTCAGCCTCCCGAGTAGCTGGGATTATAGGCACCCAACATCATGCCTGGCTAATTTTTGTATTTTTGTACAAACGGGGTTTCACCATGTTGGCCAGGCTGGTCTTAAATTGCTGACCTCAGGTGTTCTTGATCTGCCCACCTCGGCCTCCCAAAGTGCTGAGAATATAGGCGTGAGCCACCGTGCCCAGTCCACACCCATTTTACAAATGAGGAGACCCAAGCATAGTACAGAGGTTATGTTACTTCCCCCAAAGGCACATAACCAGGAAATGGGGGAGTCAGGAGTTGAACCTAGAACCAAGCAAACTGGCTCCAGAGCCCAGCAGCCCATTTCTCCACCGCTTGCTTTGGGGAGCAGGAAATGAGCAAAGGGAGATCTGGAATCTGCCCTTGACTGAGCTGCCCTCCTTATGGGGGACCTGTGATTGCTGGGAAGAATCAGCAAGATGGCTTCAGGTATGAGAAGGGTGACTCTGAACCCAGCACAGGTCTCTGGGTCTCTGTTTCCCCATCTGTGCAGTGCAGAAGTCAGGGGAGCTAATATTTGCTGCAGCTTTTGCCACTCTGGACCTTCTAGGTTTTTCTGGACCGGGGGGTCATGTTCTGCTCCCTATATCAGTCTACAGCTAAGGAGTGGGGGTCACAGAGGACAGTCTAAACTTGAATGCTTTCACCTTCCAGTCCACTTGGGACCAGCACCCAACAGGGTAGAAAGGGGATGAAGGGGAAACTGCCCAGCACTCTGCCGTTGGCCTTCCTGGCCGTACTTGCAGCAGGAGGGGGTGGAGATCAAGATGGGTACCAGGGGGGTAGAGAGGACTGCCCTCCCCATGCTCACTTTTCCTGGTGCCCCACCCCTTCAGCAACTGGCTTCTTGGTAAGGCTGGGGCATAAAGCCTGTGCTGTTGATCCTTGCCTAGCTCAGAGCTGGCATATTCGGGCAGACCTCCTCTCTAGGAGCCTCTTCCTTACACCTCAGACTCCCATTGAGAGCATTAAGTGGGTGAATTTTGATGCCTCCCAGCTCTCCCAGCTCTTACTTCCTGCCCCCTGCTATTTTCTGTTCTTACCTCCTGCTCCTTGTTTTCTGTCCACAGTGGGTGGGGGAAGCAGTAAGAGGAAGGAGAAGGAGAAGGATTGGGATCTTGACCCCACCTTCAAGGCCCTCCCTTTCTGTGGAGCCCTGAGTTTGGACCACAGGGAACATTCTAACTTCTAGTCTTTGCGCCTACCAGATTCCAGGTCCACGTCCTGAAGGCTTTATCCCTGTCCCGCTAGGATCCTCTGAGGTCCTGGAATTCCTCATTTTCCCTCCACACTGCCTCCCACACTTCTCCCTGGCTCCTTTGCACCCTCCACCAGCAGAGATGAACACTCTAGTTACAGCAAATGAGAGTGGACAGGAGCCTGCAGAACCCCAGGCATAGGCCTTTCCATCCATCCTCAATCAGGCACTTAGTTGGAAACCTGGCCATTCCCAGGCCTCCTCCACCCCTGGGCTCAAGCAGTGAGAGAGAAGGACTTTGAGAATCCCAGTTTTGGCAGTAGCCATTCCATATTGCAAGGCTCAGAAGGTGGGCTTCTGGGCTGGAGCCTCATCTTCAGCCAGCATCCCTACTTAGCCTGCCTCTCCAGAGCCAGGAAGACCCATAGGTACCCAGAGAGACTCTAGGCCACATGGGAGCCACATCAACATCTTCGAATGAGTTAGAAATAGGAATCCCTTTCTTGGAGTGGATTTCAGCCTTGTGCAATGCACAGCCCTGCCTTTATCCCTCCACCTCTCCAGCCTGGTTCCAGGGTGACCAGAATGGGAGTTGTGGTGAGGGTGGGTGGCTGACTGGGAGGACAGGGGATGGGGAAGGATGGGAGAGAAATTGTTGTACAGGGAAGTAGCAGTGGGCTCAGGAACTCATCAGGAGAAGCCAAGACAGACTCTCAACATCTATAGAGGCCTTCAGCAGTCCAGGCCACTACTAATTTGTGGGGACTGAATGAATGAGAAAAGGAAGGGAGGGAGAGGGATGAGAGGGAGAGAAGGCTGGAGGGGAGATGGGAGTGGGAGAGAAAAGCAGCCTAGAATAGATGGGAAAGAGAGACCTGGAAAGGGGGCGGGGAGGACCGAGAAGGGGGCTGCCCACCATAAGGTGCCAGGAGAGATGGTCCAGCACCAGGCCTGAAGCTTGGGGGCCCCAGAAAGGCAGGAAACGGGCCAAAGTAAGAGGGAGACAGGGAAGGGGTTCGGGTCTCTAGGGAAGAGCAGAGAGTGGGAGAAGAGGAGGAGGGAGCGGGGGTGGGGGCAGAGATAAAGGGAGCAACGGCTGCAGGGCCGGGAGCTCAGCGACAGGCGAGAGGGAGGGAAGCGGAAATTTAAAAGTGAAGATGCAGATAACGCAGCCTGGAGACGGGAACCCGGGTGGGGATAGAAGTAGGGGGAGGAGAGTGAGCGGCGAGGGGAGCGGGAGTCGACTGGAAGAAGGGCACTGGGGAGGGGGCTATGGCCGCTAGGGTCCGAGGTGTGGCCGGGTACACCACCCCATCACTGTTTGCAGGGAGTCAGGGAGGCGGAAAGACAAGCGCTCCCGGCCCCCATCAGAGCGCTTGGCCCGGGCCCATCCCCCGCGCGTCTCCCCAGCTGCGGGGCGCGGGGGGGCTGCCGGGTGCGCTTGGCTGTGGCGCGGCGCGTTGGAGACTTTATTGCGATGGGA